TTTTATTTGTCGCACTGCTGATGACGTCACGTACGCGCTTTAATCGGGCGCGCTTTAGCGGACCGCGGTTTTGTCGTGCCACGGAGAACCTAGAGAACTACTAGCAATCAGGGCACAGTGAATAGTGGCCAAACAAATGAGTTGGCCTTCTATATGGCAGCTTCCTCTGCTCCTATAACTGTTTGGTTTTGCTCAGTGGGCTAAGTAGAAACATGTCCTTTTTTCCTTCTTTAAGGAAATGACATTTATTAGGAAGATGGCATGGTGGAAAATTAAAGTAAATAACCAAGTATTCTTGGACACCAGTCCCAATCAGCAAGGCTGACAGCCAAGGAATATGGACTAGGAGTCTGCCATTTTCTGGAGAGAGGTATCAGCTCTTGTCTATTGGGGAGCTTCCTGTGATCCTTGTCATTGTGGTAAAGATTACAGGATTTTGAATCTGGAATGTCTTGCATACAAAGTAAATATTTCCCCATGGACTGTAATCTTTTCTTGATGGAGAAGACTGAATTGTCAGATTGAATTGTCCTGTATTTTTCATTGATTTTTATACAGGTTTATGTACAGGTCAACAAAGCTTCAGAAGAGGATGAAAGCATAAAAACTCTGGCACAAGATTTCTTTAGAAAATTGGAAGCGCAGGAAGAAGCCGCTGTGTCACTGTGGCAGCATTTTAGAGATGTTAGCATTGAAGAATATGCTCGGGTATATAAGGTGATGACTTGAATCTTTTCTTTCAATGTTTAGGAATTACCCCATTCTAGGTATAACGACACTTGAATATGTTAGTATTTCTGAAAAAATGTGCGCCCTTAAAATTTCCACTATATGAGTCAGGAAGAGAAATAACTTTATTTTACTCAATAACCAGCTTAAAACCACCTATAACAAAATCCGGCAATAGAGACATAACATACTTAAATAAAAATAAAAGTATGCAGCATTGGTATATTGACATTAATGAAAGTGCACTTTAATTAACTAAGAAATAAAAATATATTTCCTGTAAGTGAACTTTATTAAGCAATAATTGACAATGTAGAAATAAATTGTATTGTAAAATCTTAACAAAATATATGTGATGAGTTATAGTTAAGATGGCCAAGGATAGATGTAGCAGATGTAAAGAGATGCATGAGATGGATAAGTGTGTATCATTTGGAGTAAAATACTGTTCTGATGCATTATTTTTGTTTAGTTTTTTGTTTCACATAACTTGCATATGGACTCTTGCTGATTTAGTGGAATATCTGTAGGGTAGAATTCAATATAAAAAAAACCTTTTGCGAATTAATAGCATGGTAATGGAACAATAATATAAATGTCAGCAATTAAATTGGATAAAGTATTGCAATATTCCTACACGATGGTATGATTTTCTCTCTCTCTCCCCATATCTCTTGATTATTATTTTTTAATTTCCATTTTCATTTGCTCTGTCTATTTTGGTTCGGACTCTAAAAAGTCTTCAAGCAGGAAGCCATCAGAAATGCAAAGATTACATGGCTGTGCTGAGGGAATTCTGGGGCTTACAGCCTTTTGTCGAAAGGCTCGTAGTTGAGATTATTCTTGCTGATCATAATTATTTTCCTCTTTTCTTGATGGGTTGTCCAGCGTCTGGGAATCTACTTTGATGAATATTCTGGAGAATCCTTTTATCAAGAGAAAAGCAAAGACGTTCTAAAGAGACTGGATGCAAAAGGACTTCTTATGAAAATGTATGAATGAATTCTTTATTTCCAGTTTTTTGAAATGCCTGTTTATTCTGTCTTAATGTATTGTAAGTTGAGTCAAAACTATATCACTTTAAAGCTGGACCATTTGTTTGAACTATATTTTTAATATTTGCTGTTTTAAATAATTAATGTAACTTTGTGAATACTGACATGCAGATCAGTGGTGGATTGCTAATCCTGTTCCAACCGGTACGGGTTGGAACGGGGCCGGCAGCGTCCTCGTGCACGCGCGCAGTTCATGCATGCGTCTTAGCGCCTACGCGATGCTCCAGCTGCTCGCGGAGAATCGTGCAGGCGCTGTATGTGCCATGCGCCTGCGTGGAAGTGCAGAAGCCTTTAAAGACCGGTAAGGAGCGAGGGGGGGGCGGGGGGGCCTTTCGGCGTTCCCGGAAGTTATTTACTTCCGGGTACACCAACCAACCGGTCCGCGCGGACTGCTGCAGACCAGTTGAAACTCACCCCTGATGCAGATACAGAGAAAAGTTTCACTTAGGGATATTTTATTGTCTGTGTGTGTGGAGGGGTAGTATACATCTTTAAGATGAGAAATGGAATCTGAAATGTTTATAAAACTTGCAGGCCTGAG